AGTTATCGTGGTTTCCCATTGGGTAATCCGACGGAACCGAAAAACGGTTACCATGAATTTCTGAAATCCTCAGGCCTGCTCCTGAATTATTTAAATTTTTGCAGCATTTGTTTATAATTGTACGTATATGTTGTTTGTGGTAATATCATATGCAATTGAATAAGTAGACCATTTCGGAATTTGAAATTTGGGACTCTCTCAATGCATAATGGGACTCATACTTTTCTGATCAGTGAGTCCCTGGGACTCGCTGCCGGTAAACTGTAAAATTATCACTGAGAGATTACCGCTTTTTCTGCAGTCGGTGATTGACTTCTATGCAAAGTCATTTCTCAACTTGTGTTCCGTGCCATGTCATGCCTGTTGAGTGTTGATTTAGTTCATATTGAGAAACTACTGCACTAAAACATTCATTCATAAATGTATATCATGTGATTTTATTTCTTTTTCTCAGTATAAATAACACGTACCCTGACTGTTCTACTCTTTGAATAAAATCACTTCATTCAAGCATTAGGGAGTGCAAAGGGTTATGATGGAGGGGTGTTGCAAATCATGAACACCTGCTAAGTGGTATGATAGCATTGTTTTATACATGTCCTCGGCTAGGCCTCAATTTCAAAATCAGTCCTTGGTCCTTGGCCTTGGCCTTGGAGGCAAGTCCTTGGTCCTTGGCCTTGGCCTCGGAAAATTTTTCAAGTCCTTGGCCTTGGCCTTGCCTCGGAAAATTTTCCAAGTCCTTGGCCTTGGCCTTGGCCTCGGAGGCAAGTCCTTGGCCTTGGCCTTGGCCTCGGGTTGCCGGTCCTTGGACACATCCCTGGTGTGTGTGTGTGTGATTCGTAACATCTCAACTCCTTTCTGAGCTTATCATGACAGCACAAATAGATGTTCTACGTAGAGGATAAAAACTATATGACCGCGACTACAGCTAAATATTGCCCGCCTATGTCGTTGCTCAACTATTTTTGTTCAGTTTGTGGCTTAAAAGATTTAAACACCACAACAAAGCTCGTGGGGCCTTTCTTTTGGCAGTTTGGGTGTATCAAATACACAACGTGTAGTTGTTTTTATCTTCTTATATTGTATTGTATATATGTTTTATAGTTGATGTGACTCAATCTTCCTTGGATTTGGAGGACGCAGTGGAGGTGGAGGACCGAGTGCGCTACTCACCGTTGCCGTGTGCCATGCGTGGCTCCATCGTGACGTTGCTGTGCTCCTTCACACCCATCAAACCAGTGTTTCGGGTGAAGTGGTGCGTCAATCACCCCCTCTGTAACTGGATCGGGCCGTCTGTGTATGACAGCTCTGCGCCGTCAGACTGGCGCTACCAGTACCTGGGCGACTTGGAGAGAAACTGCACACTGCAGATTCACGACATCAGGAGGAAAGACAATACCATCTTCAGATTCCGAATGGAATCCGAAGATCGCGACGGACATTTCACCGACATCAAGGGCGTGCTCGTCACTGTCGTTGGTAGGACCCTCACCTCACTCGACTCTTTGCCATATGCATCATAAAGACACACCTTGATTTACGGGCGCCTCAACTCTCAAGATTTTCCATTTACAATATGAGCTGTAACTTGACATTTTGCACACACACAGAAATGTCACACACGCATCCAAGTGGCGTGCCGCTCGAGTTTCGCGAACTTGGAAATAGGTCACCACTGTTTCCTGCCCAAAGAAGCATCCATCCTCTCTCAATGACCTCCTCTAGATGGCGATCCGATGAGGGTGGAAAGCTCCGCCTCCGACCAAGTGAGCAAGGGCGCTGCGGTGAAGTTGAGTTGCGTCTCCAACTGTTCCTTCCACGGTCTGGAGGTGCGCTGGCATCGAGACGGCCACGCTCTCCCGGAGTCCAGCCCCACTCTCTGGCTGACAGCGGCACAGTCGGCCAACTATACTTGTGGCCTGGCTGCCCGCAACACCACCATGTCGCCGCCCTTCAGGCTGAATGTGGAGCAACACCAAACAGGTAAATGACAGGTTCATTTTTTTCCCTTCTTCTGTTCTTGTCAATGTTTTCACACATGTAAACATGCACGAAAATACAAATGCACCCGCATACATACAACAATCTCTCTTTCTCTCTCTCGCACACGCAAACAGACCAACACACATGTATCCCACATACAAATACACACAACCACACACAAACCTAGTCATCTCATTTTGTTTTTCATGCGCGAAAAGTCTTTCGCATGTCGATTTTCTTTCAAGACGGACATTTTGCCCTGACTCTCGGCAATTCCCTCCGCCTGCTGATGGTGCTGCTCGGCGTCATTCCGATCATCTTCATCTTCGTGAAATGGTACGTCAGCCGGCCTGATGCTAGCCGTGTGGTAGCTGTTAGCATAAGCACAATTAGCATGCATTTGACATCACAGGAGGAAGTGTCGGCCGGCGTCTCGTCACTATGGCAAACACGCGGGACGTGACCAGAAGGTGAGTCTGCTGACACCACATAATACATCGAGGCCAACTCTTTACTTCATCCTCCATATGTGCCTGCGTGTAGGGGTGTGAACCCGTGTACATGAACGCGACGGCGTGTGCTGAAGAAAGGCGGCCCAGAAAAACAGGAAGCGGGCCTGAGCGCAAAGCAAGTCCATAATGGCGTCACCGTCATGATGCTGTGAGCCTGGCTGATAGTGTTTATGAGTTTTTACAGCTGCTGTCAGTGATGGGCACACCTGTGCTGCTTTGGTGTGTCATACAGTTGCTTATGCTGGCTTTGAGAAAGGTGAGACTTTTCGGAGTTCCAATTTGGAAAAGTGCACTGCAACGGGCCTTTGAAATGGGAGTTGCGGGTTGCAAAGTCGGAAAAAAAAAAAAAAAAGGACCCGGAGTTCGACGACCGACTTCAATGTAACATCACTCGACAACGGCGACCCAATGGTGACACAGACCGCGAATGGCAAAACATCATTTCAAAGATGAGAAACCTATATTATATATAAAAAGGAAATTATGAAAAAGGTTTGATGAACGTGTTGTGATGAACCAGAAGAACAATTTTTCCAAATCAACTTTATTGATTACATTAGCATGTGTCATTTCGCTTTTGTTCCTCTTTCTTATCCTTCTGTCTTTTCGTCTTTCTGCTTGTGTCATACAGACAGCGGAGTTACTCTAGTTTCCCCCCATTCAGTTCAGTACTTTTTTCCCCCTGACAGCTTCAGGCTCCTTTTGCACTGTGCCCATTTGCTGTATCTATTTAAATTATTGTTTGTTTGTTTGTTTTTTTTTTGGAGGGGGGAGCTTTTTTTTTTTTTTTTTTTTGTTGTTGTTGTTTAATAAAAAC